AGCTTTATTCTTTCAGCTCGGCTGTGTCGGCGTTTCCACATTAAAAGACTCGTGCACAGAAGAGGTGGTCGTTCTTCCTCACTTTAAAAAAAAAACTTCTGGTTGCTTCATAAATGAGAAATTTATTTAACACACTCAAGTGTTCCAAACATTGTTACTTCATAGAGCAATGAAACAAAAAATCCATTCATGCCAAAAAATGTGCTCAAATAGTGGCTGAAACACTGAATGTCAACATTTACGCTACTGAAAACTCACCTCATTACCTGCTGCCTACATCGCAAAAGGTGGGGCGGAACATGACTAGTCTCTGTAGTAGGCCTACTAAATAGCCTACCATCATATTCAAATTTAGTATTTCAATATCCCTACCAAACTGCTCATATTATTCAGCCTCACATAAGAAATATGAAACCCATTTATTTTAACGGCTGCGACAGACTGGGAGAAATACAAAATATTAAACACATTTCAAAGCAGTAAGTAGGCTTACTGTAAAAACCTGTAGGCAACAATAGCTTAAGTCTTTTAATCAGTCTCCGTAGGATGATGTCGCTTTAGCCTACAAGAGTTACCTGGATAAGCTCAAATCCTGCTTCGTGGTACAGGCCCCTGAGGGCTGTTTCACAAAAGCAGAATTTAGAAATCCAGGATAAAGAGATAAAGCTAGGCTTGACCTAAAGTGGTCAGTGCTTCCTGGCTTTATCAGTTTCACAAAGGCCAAACCAGGCTCAGAAGGTGCGACTATGTCAAGCCAGGTGTAAGTAATTCTGATAAATGGGCATCAACAGCTTTCTTCAAGAGACCACACTGTCGATCAAAGATTCATTGATGTTGAAACCCATTAAAGACATGTGCCGCTTACTTTATTCGCTGTTACTATGTGTAAAAAAAGGCTTATGATGAAAAAATGCACATAATATTTAAAAAAAAAGCAACATGGCCGCAGTATTAAAAACTGCGAGAAAAAACGTGACCTAGAATAGAGGACAGACTTAAAAAGTAAGTAGCTAAAAGTATCACTGCTCCTAACTGAAACTGTGCTAATTACAATGTTACCATGAATGGTAATGTTATGTCAGACCTTAAAAGTGAGCAGTTGATGTTAATGTCACTCAGCAAATGTATTAATTACAACCACTAATCAACATACTATCTATTCAATAAAATTTTATTTATATAGCGGCAATTCACAACAACTATGAAAAAGTAACTTTGTGTTGCAAAGTGGTGGGGACATAAGAGCTCAGATTAGGGGTGTGACGATACACCTTTTAACCATTTAACCCAACTTTGAAGTAACATTCAATGCTGAGATACATGAGTGGGGAGTCTGAGGGTCCTCCCCCAGATGTTTTTGAACATTAAACACTTACTTTTCTGACTTCTGGAGAAATATTCTGCACCAATTTGTGGTGGAAATGTCTTTATTTTTATAAAAAGGAAACACAAAATTCAGCGGGCAGGAGACAATTCAAAATATAACAATATAATGCAGTAATCAGCAGCTTGTTCTTTTAGCTTAAGTTACTTTTTTTGGACAATGCACATGTTTCTTTATTTACATAGCATGTTTTCTTATTGTGCAAATAAACCTTTCTTAGCCTTTTTGGTTATTTACCTTTTTTTTATTGCAAGCAACATTTTTAACAAATATAGAGTAATAAATAGTGGTGTGTGTGTGTAGATAGGACAGGCTGGAGGTGTGTCAATTTTGTGTGAAAATGGTGTACTTGTTAAGTCAGTGATGTGGTGCTCATAGAAAATACTGTATGATATTTTTAACTAGACCCTGAGGCTGAAGTCCTACAGTCTGACAGCCAGTCTGGCAATGTAGTTTAAGTATAAGGACACCCACAGGTGAACAATTCCTGCTGCACACACTTGAAAAAATTTACAAAATAAAAAACAGCACTTGGACCTAGATATGGAGATAAAAAGAAGCACTGAGGAAATTGGAAATCCAGCAACTACAAAGAGAGGTGATCATTGCGAAGCACACTGTAGCATAACTGTAGCACGATGTATTAATCATTGTTTTCTCTCCCAAGCTCCCAGCAGACGAGTGATCCCAGGGAGAAAAAAAAAAGGTCTAAAAACATTGGGGTGTCCTTTCCGTGTTGTTTCATGAATAAACAGTGCACGATATAGTCTCCTTACTGAAGTGGAACTGTCATTTGGGAGTTTTATACAATTATGAAACCAAATGAAAATTATTTAGGCATATATATGTGTGTGTGCCATAAATTTCTTGAGTGACATAATGTCCGGTGCTCATTTTTAAGGCACGATATAACATTACAATTATGACAATGAGTTTCAGTTAAGAGCAGTGATATTTTTAGCTTCTCACACATTCAGCTGGTCCACTATTGGCTGTGCCCGAGTTAGCTTTTATTTTATTTATCATTTTTCTTTACATGTGCTTTCATTCCACGTAAACCTACTCACTGATGCTCAGTGTGTGCAAAGTATGGTGCTCGCGTCTTCTCCAATTATGAAACCTTAACCACAAACTGCTATTTTAATACAGGCTAATGAAAAATATGCAAAACAAATGCATAAGAACATGGAATAACTGGGGGAAAAAAAAACCCACTCTGATCGGCGTGACCGCTGACTGGACAGACAAGGGACCAGGATTAACTAAGACTGGCTATTAGCCTGGTCTGGAGCAGTGGCTAGCTGCACAGAATAAATCACCATGGTAACTTATGTGTTACTGCTTTCGTGAAACTGAGTCACCGCTTAATTCAGCCAGGATATCTGGAAAATCCCGGCTTAATCCGCTATCTTGGTTTTGTGAAACAGCCCTCACGTCAGTGTACTTCTGTATTTGTTGGTATTCTGGACTTGTATGTTTTGTTTAGTTTAATCTTAGTCTGTTCTTTGTTAGCTTGTAGTTTATTTATATTATTTAGTCTTCTGTCTGTGTTGGTTTGTGTTCTGTTGTTTAGTTTGCCTTTTTATGTTCAGTTTGTGTTGCTGCATTTTGGTCTGGTCCTGTCTGCTCCCCTCAATTGGTTTCACCTGCTTGCCTGTGTCTGTGTTCTGTCTAATTACCTCACGTCCTCCACCTGGTCTTGGTCTCGTCCTGCTCGTTCCCTGTTTAAGAAAGCAGGCTTAACAAACTCTGAGCTTATCCCTGAGCTCTGAGTTGATTGAGCCTGAGGTGGGAAATTCTGAATTTTCGGTTCCAGAACAGCTGATCAGAATCAGTTCAATCAGCCCTGAGTATGTTGAGCCTGACGGAAGCACATGCCATCATCAATGGAGCACCGATACTACGATTCACTCTGGCAACGGGTAAATAAAGACAGAGCCTCCATTTTAATGCGTGCCAATGCAGACTATGATGGGCTCTAAAACGCAGGAGTGGAAGAAGGATCAATGACTTAACATTATTAGGCTACTACACAGCGTTGCTCATTCATCATTTACCAGACTGGAATTTCCTTAATGAATGATAAAGTGCTACAGCCCATTACATTCGATTTTAAATTGGAAGGCTATATTTATTAAGCTGTAACCTGACGGGACTAAATGCCGGTAGTAATCGCTACCTAATTATGAAAATAGGTAGGCCTATAGATCAAATACAAGACACAGTTTCTTCGTGGACCTGTGATTGTAAAGTCATACTCATCAGGTTAGCCTATTAACTATTTTTTTGCAGTGGAAAATGTGTCTATAGATTAATGTTTGACGTCTATTTTACATTAATAAAATCTTACTCATTTCGTATTTTATTAATACTGTCAAAACACATAAAAAAAAAAACCACATTCAATCAGCAGCTAATAAAGAAACTCACTTTTAAACCTTATTTAGGCCTATTTGTTTCAGCTTCACGCATTATCCTCACTCAGAAAGTCTCATTATCTCCAGTTGATAACGACAATAGGAATGTTCCACTCTGTGCGACTAGCCTACAATATGAAAGATTACTGTTCATTGATCAGTTTGATAGGTTACATAATAAACGGTGATTACTGCAGTAATTTAGTGCACAGTGCTTTAGTGCAACTGTCCACAGAGTCACAGCGTTAAAGACAGACATAGATTTTATTCTGTGCTGAGGGTAAATCCACAATGTGCGGAGATCTGTCCATAAATGGATGACAGATTGATCATAAAGCGGTCATGTTCAAGATCATGTTGGGTGAAAAACTAATAGCCTAACTAACTGGGATTTTAAAGTTTTTAAAGTCGTAAATGCGTTCAGATATGTGCTTTGATATCGACAGAATGAATGAGGCAGCCGCCTCAGGCTCCGCGGGAGAGGAGGAGTTAAAAAGAAACTGATGGTTTTCCTACTTTTTCATCAGTTACTGATCTAGGAATTATCTGATCTCGCTCTCTGAAACGGAAAACTCAAGAGTTTCCCTCATCTCAGGCTTAACATACTCGAAATTTTCACTAATCCCGCTTTCTGAAACGCGGCCCTGTTCAGTCTTTGTGACGTCCCGGTCTAATGTTGAGTGCTCTCAAGTAAGCTTTTGTCAGTTTAGTTGTTGAGCTAATAAATATTTAGGAACTACAACCTCCTCACCTGTTGTCTGCGTTTGGGTCCACACCTAAGTCTGCACTCAGCCATCCCTCGACAGTTTTGTTTTTGCTTTTTTGTGGCGTTCCTACATGAACTGTCACTAAACGCAGTTATGCATCTACTCAAATGTATACTTTCAGTAAAAACACATGTAATGTGTATAGGATTTGGGATGTGTTTTATTACTTTATTTAAAAATTATATTCATTGCACTGTATATATTTTCCCAACTTAACAGTGTTGTTATCCCAAACATAAGTTAGGATGCTGATAGATGGAAAAAGAATTTTCATATCAAAAGCAATATATTATTACTATTCCATCGGAACAAATTTTACCGAAATATAAAGTAATTGGTCCAGCCACAATCCTAAACCCCTTATTGGTCAGAAAACATTAAGATGCAATGGTGAGTTTTACTAAGCAATTAAACAGCATTGTATTTACATAAGTACTGTATATGGGGCATTTATTACAACAAGCCACTCTGAAATCATTAGTCTTTCTTTAGATGTCTTTGTCTGCAAAACTCTAAATATAAAAATCGTAAATATAATTATCAAACACCAAGAGTATACAGTAATCTACAAAACCCTATTATTACAGTGCAACCTGTCATTTATTTTTGCCAACACATGTCAGTGATGATCATTTTCTTGTTTTTATAGTGCAAAATCATTGAGCAAGCAATGTCAGGTTGTCCTTTTTTTTCTTCATACAATATTATAGAAACCGATGCTGTTATAAGTTATTCAACCCTGATAACACTTTACCAGCGACATAGGGCAGGCATATATGTATGTATACACACGTTTTTAGTTCGTGTGTGTACTTCTACACATTCATAAAAGAATAACAAACCAATCCAGCCAAAGGAAATTACATGAACAGCAGGGCAACTTTTTTATGACATAGTGTGCAGTGAGTAAAGCTGTGGGGTCTTTTCCCCTCAGCGATACAGACACATGTTGGTGCTCCGATATAGGTACATGTAGGCGTCACAAAAGAGACGTTTAGCCACACCTTTCATGTCTCGAGGCACCTGATTGGCCAACTCCACTGGCGACATTTCCAGGTAGTCGCCGACCTCAGGGCAGGAGCGGACCTCGGGGATGTTGTAGCCGTCTCGCTCTCCTGAACACAACGCACAACTGAGCAAAAGAGTATGTGTATAAACGGTGCATATACTGAGACAATGAAACGGAGCACTCACCTTGTCTGTCTGCCATGCTGTCGAAGAAGATCCAGTCTTGGCTGTTTGGTCCGTATTTGATGAAGGACACGTAGTGGCTGGTTTCAATGCAGAGCACAGCGAACAGCTCCAGTTTGTCTCTGGTCAGAGGGTGAGTTATGTCGCAAGCCAAGTAAGCCTTAGGGATGTCCAGAGCAACTAGCTTATGGTCTCGGCGTTGAGGATGATTGTGTACCTAGGGGGAAAAAACACATGCAGTTAGGGCTTCAATAAAATTTAGAATGTTTATATTTTCTTCATTTTAATTTAATAAATTACCACATTTAATTATCAAAATGGTTGTTTATTATTTTTCTTTATTTGACAGGGTTTTAGCACTACACACACACACACACACACCCCGCAATCTGTAAATGAAGGATATGCACAGGATGTCACTATGCTCGCTCCTAGGAATAGGTGCTATTTAAATTAAGTTTATTATGATTATGATCCATCCATCCATCGTCAACCGCTTATCCTGCGTACAGGGTCGCGGAGGGCTGGAGCCAATCCCAGCTGACATCGGGCGAAAGGCGGGGTACACCCTGGACAGGTCGCCATTATGATTATTTCGGTTGTATCACATGTCACTCCATACCTCTAT